AAAGAAGAAAAAAAAAAGAACTGCAGCTGCCTTAGTATTGTTAGATGTGGGGGATCAGTTCTTAACACATAAACAAATGAAGAGTTATACTAGCTATCACTACCACCTCCTGTAGGTAAAAAGAAGGCCTCTTCAAGTTCAACTTCTTGGAAAGTAAGGTAAAGGTCAATAAAATTTCATAAATTGTAAACTAGTGTTCGCCTGCGTGTGTGGGGCTGTGCTGCGTGCAACTTATAGACCCATTCTTTGCTCTTTGTGAGCTTATTTTCTAAGTAAATAAAGATGGATGCCAAGATACATTTGGAAGGGCATACTAACAATCTATGCAGTTCTGCATTGTGTTTACGAAGTACTCCTGTTCTCTAGCTTTGTTGATTATTAGAATATCTGCTTTCTACTGCTGCAGAAAAATAGACAGAATCTCTTGGATTATTTGTTTTGCTTTGATTTGTTCCTAACAGTTAGATTGTCATTTTCCTGTGAAGATTTCTCATGGTAGATCAAAACTCAAGGGAAGTGTCACAAGCTAGAGCTGCAACTGCATGTCAACAAAAACACTACAGAATAACTTGTTGGGTTCCAGGATATTTGTAGAACACATTTAGCCTGAGATGATAGCCTTGTTAATACAACTTATGATACCATGTGGCTATCTTAAATATGGCTCCTATAATAAGTCAGTTTTAAATACAGGTTGATCCAATAGCTTTTAGTCTCACATTGAAACATTATAGACTTTTTCTGTTAAAATTTTAATTATAAATCATATTAATAAGGATTAATTAGTGCCACAAAGAACCATAAGATATACCATCACTTGAACTTAATTGAAGCTGAATGCATTATTTGGCATTGACTCCATTGTTTCCCCCAGGGTTTTCTGAGAATTACTCTATTTGCCTACTGAAATGTTGAGGAGATGGAAGATTTGAATTCTTAAAAGAGCATATATTGCAAATTTTGGTTAACATGCATGGTATAAAGCTGCTGATTGTGCTTGGTCTTTTCTTGATTTTAATGATCTAATTTACTATAATTTCTTCAGACTCTTAATACAGGCAGGCTATGATGTTAATATTAAAGATTATGATGGCTGGACACCTCTTCATGCTGCAGCTCATTGGAGTAAAGAAGAAGCCTGTCGAATTTTAGTGGACAATCTGTGTGATATGGAGATGGTCAACAAAGTGGTAGGATTTTACACATTTTAAATATTTTAACTTTTAAATGTAGTTTTAGCCTCAAGTGTGATAGCAATATAAATTATATAATGTTATATTTTCCTAACTATATTTCTAATCATTTTATTATTAATGATGTGGTTTTAGCTACCATATAAAGTTGTGTTGGCCTTTTAATTAAAAAGAAATATTTCTCTTCCAGTAATTAAATTACTATGAACACAGAGGCACTTTTGTTACTTCAGTTAGTGTATTCTTTGTTCATCAATTAGGAAATTCTTGCATTTCTATAAGTGGCTTTTGCCATCACTGCATTTGTGAGTTAGAGCATATTTTGAAAGGTAGTTCAAATTCTCCAGCCAATAATCTTAATAGTAGCATACTATAGTCATTTCTTTTTTTTTTTTCTGATCAAGTCTCTCTTTATTGAGTGAAAGGTTGCATCCTATCTATAGTAATTTCTTAAGCAGCATGTGTAATGGCTTCTTATGACAATTAAGATACAAGTCAAAGTTTTAGGTCAGATTAAACTATAAAGATTCAACATCAATCTTCTTAGTTTTACAAATGAGAAAACAGTGAGGCAAACGATTAGTATCACTCAGTTAGGTAAAATGAAAGGGCACTGGTGGCTCAGTAGAATTCGCTCCTTGCATGCTTGAGACCCCTAGGTTTAATTTCTTACTAGTACACCCTTAAGGATAGCTGCCAGTCATCTGCCAGGGGAGGCTTACATGTTATTAAGATGTTTAGCACATTTCATTGAACTTCTAGACTAAAATGAACTAGGCAGTAAGGCTTGGTGATCTACTTGCTGAAAAAATCAGTTGTTTAATCCCTTTGTGTATAAGATTGCCATGAGTCACAGAGACTGAGTCTGTGGCAGCTAAGAGCTACAGGTTAGAATGAGGCAGCAAGGGAGGGCGAGAATGTCACCTAGGGTGTTTATTGTTGGTGGTTAAATAAATTCATTAAACTATTTAGGGGTATTAAGTTCCTTATTAGAGTTTTTCTCCTCTACTTCCTTTCAAATAGCATCAGTCAGTTATCTGAGTCATCGGTATTCTTGCTAGTCACCTCCCACTCCCTCATATTTGTGTCTCCTCATCCTGAGGAAAGAAGACTGAAGAAAATCAAAGATTTAGTAGTCCAAAGGACTAATGGACCGCAAGAACCACAGCCTCCGTTTTTCTGACAGGGGGACTAAATGGTGTCCAGCTACAGATACCACCCACTCTGATAAAGCCACAGACGGTCCTCGGTAGAATGAGCCAAAAAATGTAGAACAAAACTGAAAATCATAACAAAAACCAAGCTTTACTCCTCTGATAGGGACTAGTGGTATCCACCCCACCCCCAAAATCTGGGGCTCTTAGTTTAAACCTGGAACCGAACCCAATCCTGGAATTCACCTTGTAGCCAAGCAACAGACAGAGTGAACAACATAATGCTCAACCACACAAGACCAAAAGGACAGCACTTGCCCAAAAACAAAGCTCAGAAGACAAGAAGAGGTGACAAGGAAGGTCAAACAAGAAATGGGAAACCTGGGAAGAAAATGGGAAGAATTACAACTAGTGTTATACACAAAATGTGTACCGTATATAAATTGTTGAATTGAAAACTCATTTGTTCTGTGAACTCTCACCCAAACCATAATCAGAAAAAAGAATGCTTCTCACTTGTTCAGCTTATGTGTGAAGACTTAGGGGTAAGGGAAGAATCTAAGCAATCCTTACTGGAGAGCTCGAAACATGTCTCCTGTAGTAACTGAATAACTCTGAACTCTCCGCCAAGTTTCCCTTGTACTAACCATGCTAGAGGAGATTGTAGTCAATGACTTAGCAGAGGTTTCTAAGGCAGTCTCATCTTAATTTAAGTAAGTCAGTCTAATTCTATTATGTCCATTATCTTGACTTAGTATCTGGCATTGGTTGCTCTGGTAACAATTTCTAATTGTAGAGCTGCAAAAAGATCTTCAATGTGATGTGCCATATGCCTAGGATTCGCCACAGGTTAAGTACTTGGAGTTTGATCATAATAATGCAGGCTTATGACCTCTCACTGACATCAGGAAGATAAATCCTCTGAGCTCCTATTTCTGGGATTCAGCCCTAGATATGTATGTACTTTATTAACTGATTCATTTATGCATTTTATAAGAGATACATATACAGGCAATAAAATAATTATAACTTCAAAAAGACCAATGAAAATAAAACAAGAAAACATAGTAAACAAGATGAAAAATGATTGAGAATGATTCATCTTTAAATGTAGGGTTGTACTTATATGTAACAAACCTTGATATAAATTTTTAGACAAGTGTCTGTTTTGTAGTCAACTTTTAAAATATTTATTTCCTTGTCTGTGTTCAAATTCACCCTGCATTTGAGATTTTTCCAAGTAAATTAATTGACACTTGAATTACCACCCAGTACCTTTAGCTTGGAATCCTTTGCTCTCACTTAAACCATACCCAGAAACACTTTTTCCATTCATATGATTAATTTAGTGATAAAGACCTACAGATATGGGTCAAGACTTTGGACATACCATTAGGAGGGGCCAGTCCCTGGAGAAGGATATCATGCTTAACAAAGTAGAATACCTGTGGAAAAGAGGCAACCCCAGAGAAAGACTAATTGACATAGCAATGATTGTAAGGATAGTTCAGAAATGGGCAGAGTTTTGTTCTGGTACAAATAGGGTTGTGTTGTCCTAACTCGAATTTTCTTGTACATCTAAGTTCTAATATCCAGTGCAATGGCTACACAGAACTCAAACATAATTCATGATGAAAAGGTTTTTATAAGAAGTTAACAGGTTGCTATGAAAAAATACTCAGGATAGAATTTTTCATCAGGACAAGTTACAAAGATCTTTCAAGGCTGCCAATAGATGGTCAAAGGTATACCTCCCAGTTGTAAGCCTCAACCTGAAAGCATTCAGCTCAAGTTCTGTAGGTCAGGAAATCCAGCTTTCTGAATTACGTACCCCGAGACACTCCACTCCAGGAACCCTCAGCCCAAAGGCACTCTGCTCCCCTTCCCTAGGTCAGCAAGCCTAGCTCCCCCAATTAAGTATCCAGAGGCACTCTACTCCACAAGCTAGTGTCCCTTTTCCAAAGCACTCACCTTTACCTGCTCCATGGGCTGAGCAGACTATCCCTCTGTTACATATTCTGGTTCCTGGTTCTGCCACTGCTCCTCTGATGACACAACTGTTTTCTGGATCCAGGAGGCTTGCTCTGCAGGGATCATGGGTCCAGAAGATGTACTCTTCTCCTGACTCTTGCTGGTAATAAGTTTCCTCCTACTGTTTCTCAGAGGGCTCATTGTATATGCAGCAGGATGGCATTCCAGTGAATCCGGTTCACAAATACTCACAGGTGAAGCCTATCAATATCTTCCCCTAGCTTCTTAACAGACCCATGCAGTAAAAAGTCATTTGGTATGAGTTGAGAGACTTTGGCTAGAAGAGCCACATTAAATAATTTATTGCCCTGCAAGGGTCACTATAACCAGATGGTATCTACCAACAGTGACAACATAAAGGTGTTAACTGAATTTTGAAGAATTGGGACATGATTAGGGAATTTCAGTAATTTTTTTTCTAATTTTTCTTTTGAATTATAATTTCTCCTGCATTGTTTTCTTAGTTTTCATTTTCTCTTTTATTGTTGTCCTACAGATATGAATTCTTGAGTTGTAAAAATATGATTTTAAATATTATCTAAAGGTTATTTCTTCCTCTCAAAAAAGAAGATCCTAGTGATCTCTCTTCATAATGAGAAACTACATGTATAGTGTTCTACTGGCTTTCATGTTATAGTTGTACCCTAGTATTTTTTTAGCTTCTTTGGTAATGAAAAAATGTTCTATTTTTATAAGATTTTCTCTTAATTTTTAATATAATATGATTTTATCTATATTTGTTAGGATTTATCTTCCGTTTTCATTATTAGTGATTGTGAATTTATAATATGATATAACTAACTAAAGTTCCTATAAAAATTAGTTTTAAAAAGTAAGATACTATACCGAGGGCTCAAGTAGAAAGCAAATGTTTTGAGAATGATGAGGGAAACAAACATACAAAAGTGCTTGACACAATGGATGGATGGATGGATTGTGGTAAGAGTTGTATGAGACCCTATTAAAATGATTTTGAAAAAAAAGTACAAATGTGCTTTACACAATTGATGTGTATATGGATTGTCATAAGAGTTGTATGAGCCCCTAATAAAACGATTTTTAAAAAAGTAAGATACTATCAGAGTTAAGTGCATATTTGCATAATAGAAAATAACTGGGAGGAATGTATGATTTAGAAAATAACAATCCACATCACAGAACATTCTAAAGTCTACAAAGTAGGGAAATTATTCTAAAATATTTAGTGATTTTTGTCTCATTTTTTAACTTAACAAGCTGTAAAGTAGTACAGTACCACCCGTCCTTTAAGGGGAGCTGGACTCACCCAGGGGGAGCTGCAAAAGCAGATAGATGCCTACACATATCCCCCGGATTGTGGGCTATTGGACAAAAGTTTTCATTGCCAGCCAGGTGCAGAGTCATTTGGGGTTTTTTTCCTGAAAGGGGGACAGTATGCCAGATAAGTTTGAGGATCTATGCTATAAAGCATACTTACTATCATTTTAATTATAACCATTATGATACAGATTTTAAATAGGAAAGTGTTGTTTTTTTTTCTTAATTTACTAAAAGAATGTTACTAGAATGTACCCAAATATCACCCATATTAAGTAGGATGCCTTTCTAGTTGGAATTTTCTCTAACACATTATCATGATTCCAGGAAATTTTGAATCACCTGTCAATAGAGATTTAAATGAATAACATTTAAATTTGTTTCTGTTATTACAGATGCAAAGAATTTTGTTTCTGATTGTATGTGAGGTTATTCTTATTTCTTGAAAAGACAAAATGACGTACTAATGCAATGGAGACCAAAATCTAGTCTCACTTTCCCATCACTGTCTGCATGGCCTTAGCTTAACATGGCATCAGAGTCTCAGTTTCCTCATTTGTACTATGGAAATCATAATGCGAGGAGTACCCCCCCCAAAAAACCAGGATTTTTGCTTTTTTCAGAGCTGTGTATTTAATTTTTTTTTTTACAAAACAAGCTTACACCTTCAAAGTCCTCTTTATACACATAATACATTTGTCAAATCTGTGAGTCCATTCTTGGAAACATTTTTCAAACTCATCTGTTTGGATGACTGACAACACCTCTTTTGTTTTTTTCTTCACCTTTTCTAAGTCATCAAATTGCTGTACTTTCATGTCCCTCTTTATTCTTGGAAGCAAAAAGAAGTCACACTGAGTGAGGTCAGATGAGTAAGGTGCATGGGGCAAGAGAGGCATGTTGTTTTTTTACCAAAACTGGCACGTGGAGAAGGCTGTGGAGGTGACTGCATGAGCAGGTGCATTGTCGTGTTGGCAAAATTAGTCCCTCATCTGCCATAAACCAGGCCTTTTTTTGGTTGCACACTGTTATGCAATCTTCTCAGGACCTTTAAATAGAAAGCTTGGTTAACAGTCTGACCTGGTGGACGAATGCACTGAGTCAGTATTTTTGTCTGTTACATAGCCTTATGCAGTTCTCTTAAGTCGGCCATCCCAAAAAACTAGATTTGAACCAAACTGCTGTTACAAAAAAATTCACTGTTACCAGAGGACCTTCCCAGGCAACAGCACTGGTTGCACTAACTCAGAGGGAGTTAGTGGCTTGATGCTCACCTGGCAGGGGTGCGGGGATTTCATACTATGAAAGCTCCACCCATCAGAGCTTTTTTTTTCTTTTCTGTTTTTTGGGGGGCTTACCCCTCGTACTTAAGTGCTTCATTGATGGTTGTGAATTTTAAGGGAGAGATCATATCTGCATAAGCATTTCACTTAGGAAATGTAAGAAAAGAAGAATGAAAAGCCTCTGAATTTATCCTCTAGTCTGACTGGTAAAATGACCAGAAATATTCCTTTAAGTAGTCTTTTGTTTCTTTTTAACATAGTTCATAGAAGTTTCTTCTCTCTTACTCTAGTAATGTGCCTTCTCGATTATTTCCAGATTGCCTTCAATGCTGTGCTTTCTGCCACATAGTGTTTGTATCTAATTAATGAAGCACAATAGCCTGATTGTGATTATGATTTAATTAATGTTCATAATTTTAAATTATTAACTTCATAATTGTGCTAAAAATATTTAAAGAGCGTAGTTAAATTATTGAATTAAGTGGATTGGTGTGATTTTCTTTTTAATTACATATTTTCTGTTTATATTTTACTCCAGTTTTTATCCTCTATCAGCTGCTGTTTCTAAAGTAGACTCATTTATCAAGGAAGAAAGTGAGAAAAAAATTTTAAGTTCTTATTAAAGTAACTCCACTGCATTTAACTCTTCTTAAATTTTATTGACAATCCAAAACAAATTTTAAGGTAGAATAATTCACTTGTGAGGGGGTTGATAAATTTTTATTTATTTTTTGAGGGGGGGTTGATACATTTTTTTAAATAATATTTAAAGTCAGTGAGTTCCATGTTTCTGCACAAAACATGACCTTGAGCACAATTTACTTGTAAATTGCTATCTAACATTGTAAAGGTGATTTTTACAGAGTGGATAAAGGCTACCTGAAATTTACATGTGATGCTAATCTAACGGACAGTTAAAATTTTAAGCCAAATTTTTTATTTGTGAACAGTTCATTCTTTAGAAATTTAATCCTTGCCTTCTATTACTCAAGGGCAAGACTTTTAAAGTTCATTAAAGTCCAAAACATTTTCTTTTGGACTGAGTGGGGAAGGATAGATTTGCCTCTTAAATTATCAAGGGAAAATCAGCTTGGGTATTGGGTAGCTTATACAGTTGCTTTTTAAGCAGTGGCTTAGGCAATACAATGACTCCCAGAGATACCAATCCTTGTATGTTCAAGTTCCTTATATAAAAAAGGTTTATTATTTCCATATATCCACTCTATGCTTCCTCTTACCTTGAGGGATTGCAGCACCCCAACATTCCTCCACTCATATTTTCAGTTACATGGTTGAGTAGATATGTGCATGTGGATCCCTCAGATAAAGTGATTGGAAACATAGCTTTCATAAAAGTAGATGTCAATATACCACGTTGGAGTAGAATTGAGAATTCTAGTATTGTTTATTTTTACATGGAATAATTAGTGTGTGTGTCCGTTATAGAATTCTCTCCTTATATTCAGCAGACCCAGGTTCAATTCCTAGTCAGTGCTTCTTAAATACAATTATCACCCACATCTGTCATTGGAGGCTTATGTGTTGCTAAGGTGGTGAACAGGTTTCAGTGAAAGTTCCGGAATAAAACAGACTAGGAAGAAAAATCAGGTGATTTAATTCCAAAAATTAGCCAGTGAAAACCCTGTTGTACATGGAGTTGCCATGAGTCAGTGACTGAATAACAATAACTACCAGTCTACAAAAGTACTGTTATGAAAGAAAGTGAACTTCCTTTAGGATGATGTATTTTCTAGGTGAGAAAGCATTTTCCTGAAGAAAATGAGCATCCCAGTCGGCATACAAAAGAGAGTATATTTTAAATAATGAACTTTTTACATTCTGGAATCTTGGACCAGTTGTTTCAGTTATAATGTCTACTACCAGCAGTAGGGGGTGAAATTCATCACTATGTATAGTTATTAAGAGGATACTATGTGGTTTAAAATCAGGAAAGGTGTGTGTCACACTTACATCCTTACACCACATTGCTTCAGTTTGTATGTTGAGCAACTAATCCAAGAAACTGGGCTGTGAGGAAAAGCGTGGGATTAGAATTGAAGGAAGGCTCATTAACAACCTGAGATATGCAGGTGTCACAGCCTTGCTTGCTAAAAGCAAAAAGGACTTGAAGCATATACTTCAAGCATATGAGGGATTACACTTTAGGATAAAGAAAACAAAAGTCTTCACAATTGGACCAACAAGCAATGTCATAAAGAGTGATAAAAGATGTAGTTGTTCAAAGGGTTTCATTTTACTTGGATTCACAGTCCTCATCCAGGAAAGCTGAAGTAATAAATTGCACTGGGAAAATCTGCAAAAGGCCTCTTTAAAATGTTTAAAATCCAAGATTTCGTCTGGAAGAGTAATATGTGCCTCTGAGGCATGCAAAGATTGGATAATAAGGCAGAGTGATTATGCATTTTTGCATTAAAATTATGGTATAGTCAGCAAAGAATACTGACTATACTGTGTGCTGCCAGAAGATCAAACAGATCTCTCTTGGAAAAATGGTAGCAAGAATGCTCCTTAGAAGTGAATGAAAATGGTGAGACCTTGGCCATATCTCAGGAGGCACATTCCCTGAGGAGGACATTTGTTTGATACAGAGGATCAGTTAAGAAGAGGAAGGTCCTCAATAAGATGAATTGACACAGCAGCTGTAACAATAGGCACGGATGGAACATAGCAGTTGTGAGGATGGTGCAGGACCAGACTTTGAGTCATGTAGTTTTGTTTGTTTTGACATGGAATAATTAGTGTGGGTCAGTGGTAGAATTTTGTTTTGTTGTTCCTAGGATTGCTATTCATAAGAACCAACAACAGCATAAAGATAAAGTGGAATAGTGGTTACCTCAGCTGTGAAGATGGGGTTAGAGGGATGGGGCGAATGGAGAGTGATTGCTAAAGGGTCTAATGTATCTTGTGAGGGGTAATTAAAATGTTCTAAAAACTACTGTGATGATGGATGTACAACTCTCTATACACCAGTCATTGAATTTGTGAGTTGTGAGTTATATATTGGAGCTTAGCCAGGCACGCACAGAAGTGTGTCATCTAGATTTCTCATGCATCTCCTTAGAGCCATATATGTATGATGTCACTGAAGACTACCCTAAAAATGTTACCTAATCTCTCTTCATGTGTGTCATACAGAATCACCAGAGCCATTGTATGATTAATGACTTAAGACCACACCATCCCTCTTGTTTCCTACATAGGGCCAGACAGCCTTTGATGTTGCAGATGAAGACATTTTAGGCTATTTAGAAGAGTTGCAAAAGAAACAAAATCTGGTATGTTTGACAACTGTCTAAAAATTAACCTCTATTATAAGGTGACCAGATTTAAAGCGGGACACCACTGACCGGGGAGCGGGGGGATGTTCTTGATTATAAATTTGGTCTATATGGACCAAATATACCATTCCCTAGCTTGTCGTGCATTCTTTCCAAAAAGCGGGACTTTTTTAAAATGCCAAAAATTGGGACTGTCCTGCCAAAAGCGGGACGTCTGGTCACCTTACTCTTAGCAAATAGTAGCTTTGAATTTCAGGCATTTGAAACACTATTATTGTGATGTTTTATATTTGGGGGTTTAAGTTATTTCGAATAATCAAATGGCAGTGAGAAAAGAAACAAGTGTTATTGATGGTCAGCCTTCCGTGTTCCTTGTTCACGTTTCTGTTTTCTTCCCGTAATGATTGAATACCTGTGTAATGTATGTTTTCCCAAGAATAACATGCCTTTTTTTTTAATCCCCCAAGTTTTAAACATTTATTTGAACTTGGATCCTTTTATAAGGCCTCAGATTTCTACTAACAGATCCTAGACAAAGTAGGAGCTGTATAACTAGGACACAGATACCTAAATAAAATACGATTAGACATTGTAAGTGGTTAGTAGCTCTCTAAATGGAAACGTTGGAGGACTCTTAAAAAATCCAACTTAGTCCTGCATAGAGCTGCTTTTAACTGTCTAGTCTCCTTTCTTTACCAAGACCTTCTCTTTACAGGTAAAATACTAATCTTAATAAGTTTCTTGTTTTATTTTTGAAACTTGTTTTGAAACTGCTTGTTTTCCTTAATATTTATAAAACTAATTTGATCTTATACTAATTGATATTGTTTTAATGTTGTTCTTTTTTCCTTTTTTGTTCAATTTTGTATAGCTCCATAGTGAAAAACGAGATAAAAAATCTCCACTAATTGAATCAACAGCTAATATAGACAATAATCAGTCACAAAAGACCTTTAAGAAGTAAGTAAAACAGTAAATTGAGATTTGTTGTTAGAATAATTTAGCATCTGGGCCACAGAAGTGATTATTTGATTTTAAAGATCTAGGTAACATGTGTTTGTTATCTTGTGTTCAAAATTATTTGAAGGCTCATTTCCTTCCATAGCAAAGAGACATTGATTATTGAGCCAGAGAAGAATGCATCCTGTATTGAGTCTCTGGAGCAAGAAAAGGTGGATGAAGAAGAAGAAGAAGGAAAGAAAGATGAATCTAGCTGCTCTAGTGAAGAAGATGAAGAAGATGACTCAGAATCAGAAGCTGAAACAGGTAAAATTGGAAGGATAAAGAGGGTCAAATTGTGATGCAGTGTAAAGTAAGATGAGATCATACTGTCCAGATAGATCTGCTGTTTGTTTGATATCAGCCAAGCCATAAATTACCTTTCAGTTAATATTAGGAGCTTAATATAGCTGTAAATTTATTAATCTCTCATCACCTAGAGATTTGTTATAGCCTATATTTTTAGATTGGGGGCGGGGTTGGAGGGAGTGACTTTTAAGATTCCCTTAGGATGGTGCAGATAAGGTGTGAATGGATTTCTACCACAGGAATGCTGATTTTCTGAGTCCCAGGAATCCAAGAAGCCAGGTTAAGCTGAAAACTGGTATTAAAATTGAGCATCAAAGGCTTTCCTTGGATGGGGGAGGAAAAGGGTTAATTTTTTATGATACTTTTAAATATAATATAGTTAAAGTTTTAAATATAGAGAGAAATAATAAGCACTCATATTCCAACTACCAAGACTTAATCACTGTTGACATTTAGCTGTTTATTCACATTTTTCTTCATGTAAAATGAAAACATTTTGTCATCTGTAACTACTAGCCCTAGGCCACTCGCTTTCTTTCCTTCCCAAAGCAATCTCATTCATGTGTTTGTTTCCGCAGTCCCGTAGTTCATTGTATACTCCTTTGTCATATTTTAATATTCCTAAAATGTTTCTGCTACTTGATTTTCATTCAAAAGATTTCATTTTTAGGTCTGTTTATATCTATTTCTGCCTTAATGTTTTTTTCTACCTAATTTGTTCCTGTAGTGGTTTTATAGCATTCCATTACATGTATCCATTTCATTCTAATAAACAGTAATTTTCTAATTTTTGTTGTTGCACATAGCACATGTTGCAGTGATCATTTGTATGCCTTCTGGTGTATCCATACAAAGTGTTTTTTCTATAGTAGATATACTTAGAAATTGCATTTTTGAGATACATGGTGCAAACATTTTCCAATTTCTTAGACGCTACCATATTGCTTTACAAAGTCACTATAACAATTTGTATAACTTTGCTTCTGTTCTAATTTCTGCATTATTTCCCCTGTGGCCTACATGTTTTTAAAGGTTTTGTTTACCAAATTGCATTCATTAACACCTTCTTATGCTGTCTTAGTTTATGAGTCAGGACTTTTTAACAGCATTTGATATCATTATTGCCGTGTTTTAGGTCTATAACCTGGCATTTTAACATATAATTTTACCAGAAGAAAATATACCATTTTCATTGATGTTTTGTTATTTTATATTATGGGCGGGGGGGGGGGGGGGGAGTATGTGTTGCTTAAAAAAATTCATGGTAAAATGTAATTCAAAGATAAGGGAATACCTTTGTGAAACTTTGAAACCCCTTTGTATGTAGCATATTGCCATCTAAACTACTAAGATTGTTTGATTAGTGAAAACACAATCATCGATACCCAGACCAAATTGGCAACCATTGGTAAACCCATCTCCTCTGGAAACAACACGACTTTGGGTCTGTTTAATTTACTTAGCAAAATGCTTCCTCTGGAAAATGTGAGACACTAATGGAACGTACTGACAATTCTGTTTCTGTACAGATATAGGCAAGAATTTTATGTGGGTAATGTTATTTTTTTTCTTGGAGCTTATTAACAAAGTAGAAATCATTTTTCAATAATACACAAAACATTTATGAACTACATAAAGTTCTAGATGCCAGTTACTCAGAGATTGAAATTTTTGCTCATTGCTGCCCCATTGTTCATGAGGAACTCAGCATATCTTTTACTTAAGTGAGAGCTCCCTACATCAGATAATCACTGAAGGTTATCATTTACTTGTAGGATATACAAATTAAAGCATATTTAATGAGAGCAAAGTATATGATAATCAACATGCATAGTGTTTAAGAACATGGGTTGCCTCATTCATGTAATTGTATATGTAGGTAATATATTTACTCTCAGATTTCTCATCTGTAAAGTCAGGTTAATAGTACCTTTTTATATACTTTATGAAAATAAATTGGTGTAAAATAACTGTTCAATCTAATATAATAATTGCATAAAATTAAACTCACTTAAATACATCCTCGCCTCACTTATCAACATGGTTAGGTTCTAAAGGCTTGGTTGTTAGGTGAAAGTCAACATTATGCGAAAATGGAGGATGACCACATCAGATTACAAAATCAGTGACTGCATTATTAGATAACTGCTAAATTATATAATAATATAACTGCCAAATGACACTCGTATGTACTTTCCATACACTGAGAATCATAGCCAGTGAGCTGACACCTAACTTTACCATCACAGACAACTTCACTTTGCCTCTTCATTACTGTCAGATGTTAGGTTGTTAATGCACAGATAGCCGGATAGTAGATGCTTTTATTATTGTTGTAAATATGTAATATCAGATAACAAGATAGTACATAATTAAGGGGGCACATGAACAATTTAAGTGCTTATCGCTTCCATTAAATTAGTGCTATGATCCTTGTGCATTTTGTGAAAAATGAAATGTCATTGGATCTGTATACTTTCACACAGATATATGATTATTTTACTTAATCTTTTTCCTGAACCTTCAATATCTAAATATAATACTACAAATCAAATTATGGGTGTGTATACAACAAAGCCATGTTAGAACCCAGGAGTCCTAACTGGTGTGTCAGTTCTTCTTCTTCTCTGGTAATATGAGAACTAGAAGTCCAGGCGTCTCTTCTAGTTATTTCTAAGTTATTATTATTTCACTTTTTCTTCCTAGGCTCTGTATATGTAATATACTTTGTTAGGCTTCAAAGGGTTCTTTAAAGCTAGCAAAAGACTTCAATTTTAGATCAGTCTTGTCACCAGCTAGCAAATCTGGCTTCCCTAGGCTGAAATTTCTTAACTTCTAAAAGAACAAGAATTAGACTAAATAATCTGCATAGTTCTTCAAACTCAATTTAAAATATAATTAATTACTATCAGACTGTATTCTTTCAGTCCCCCTGTTTGGTGATTGAGCATGCCCGTCACCATCTGCTTGGTCTCTCACAACTGAACTTTAAATGTTCGTTTCAAGTATTGTGCTATGGTAATTTTGTTCTTCCTGTTGTTAGTGGTTAGTTGTGCCAGGAAAATTTGACTCTGTCTCAAGAATTAACCCATCCATGTAAGTGTTGTTTGGTTTCTTCTCTCGCTTTTTTTTTCTTTTTAAGTATCAGCAAGACTTCATCGTACTTTATTTGGCAAGCTTGAGAAAGCAGAAATTTTCCCATAGAGCTACAGCTGTATTTCTAAATTTCTAAACCTTTTTTACTTTCTTATAAACCAAATGAAAATAGGAACTTTTCAAAGGGCTTTGTCTCCCAAATGATTTATAAATTTGGTGGCTCGTTAGGACGAGGGGTGCGGGGGTGAGCATATTTTGGTTTTTAGGGATTTTTTTTTTCCCCTCTAGAGCTTAGATTTTATCTTTCCATTGAACTCAAATTTTGGCATTTTCAACAGTATTGATAATGTTTACTTAAAGTTGAGTTGTGGATACATGATATTTGTTTCATTATTATTTTCACCAAACTTAAATGTCTATATGTATGTACACATACTGTTTACTATGTAGATTTTACTAAAAGTTTTAAACCAAGAAAAATAGAAAAAATACATTGAATTCTTTTACTGTTTGAAGTCATTTTGTTTTGTTTTTTACTTTAGTTTGTATTTCATTCTATTCCTTGCATTTAATTCATTCTTCTATTCCTAAAATACCACAGATTTTATTTATCTCGACAATTATATATTTCTCGCAGCGGAATGTAATAAACTCCGCAGTTAACATATTTTGTTTTCACATTTCACATTCACATTCACTGCACACTGCTGAAATGCTCATATCAAGAAAATAAATCTATTAAATGACCTTCTCCATGGTTAGGTGGATTTGTTTTATAGGAAAGAGATTTAGTTAGGTTATACATGATTTGTACTTATGGCAAAACCTATGTTGAATGAAAATAAATATTAATAGTAAGAAAAAATATATTAGACTGATTTTAATTCATTCCATTTATTCAAATAACTAAGGTTACATTGCTTTTTAAATGCATTAATTTGACCATGACCTTTGGTATAGTTCAATATATTCTACTTTTCCCCTGTTAAGCCATCTTACAGATGTCAGAAGTACAAGTGGATGGCAGAATCGGATAAATCATTAATGGGAGGTTTATATTTGCTCCATAGGTAAGAGTGAGTTGATATGTATAGAGTAGCATATAAGAAGAATGACTCGAGATTTCTTTGGAAAACTGATCAAACATAGGGAACGAGGTAGTGTGATGAATATGAATATCTCATCGACTTTAAAGCACTGTTTATTCCCAAAGGTGTAGAACGGTATCTCCCCAGCAAATGAGTGTTAACAAAATTTTGTTTTTATATTTTTTTAATAGATAAGACAAAACCCATGGCTTCTGTAACTAATGTCAATACTTCTAGTACACAAGCGGCTCCCGTAGCAGTCACAACTCCTGCTGTGACAGCTGGTCAGGCAACACCTACGTCACCTATGAAAAAGGTAATTTTGTATTTCTTGAAAATTATACTTGCTAAAAATATGTATATTCTGTTCTGGTACTATGTGAACTAAGTTCTTAAAATAATTCTATATATTTAGTTTATTCTAATATTTCAGGTTTTAGAATAAGAATATATTTTTCTGTCTGATTTGAATGATATTTTTTCTGGACCACGTTGAATTGTTTTTCTTTCCTTCTTTTGCAGTTTGTGCAATTTGCAGCTGTGAAAAATAATTAGCAGATAATTAGAAAATTTTATAACTAATATGGTTGTTTTTACTTCTGAACTATAATTTTTGGAAAACCTCATTCTAAATCAATTATCTGTTAAGTAAGATGACATGTTGATAATTTCACAAGTAAATAAATGCAACACAAAAATTACTACCACAAGCCAATGAGAGAGAACTAGAATCTTGATTTTCTAATTCATAATACACGTTCTAGGCATATAACTGTGGCAAGGCAGCAAAAGCATGATCTTTGATGAGACACACCAGAGGTCAGTTTCTGGCTGTAGCTTGTTAGTTGTTTTAACTTTGAAAAAGTCAATTACCATATCCCTGTCTGCAACAGCAAAATACGGAGGCGAAAAAGAAAGTGCACATTTATTGTAAGGGTTTATTGGGAAAAAGATTCTAGCCAGTGATGTTAGTACTCCTCGATATTAGTTTTATTTCTTCTCTTTCTGTTCTTTGTTCCTCTTTCTGTTTTCCACCACAGTAGTGTTTTCAAACTCGTATGCTGATTTTTCTAAAGACTTGCTTTCTCCCTGCCATTCTAGAACATGTACATCTTTAACCCAAATAAGAGGTGAAGGTTTTTTGACCTTCATGTCCCCATATAAACCTCTCCTCCCGGTCCCTTACTTACCTTAAGGAGCACACGCGTTTCCCTCTTTGAACACAGATTTTTCTTTGTTGAAGCAATTGGCAATTGGTTACAGGTTTCATGGCATTTCACCCCTAAATAATTTGAGCTTGTTGCTCCAAAATACAAAAATGTTATCCTTTATTCCCACAATTAAATTGTCATACTTTGAATATTTCGTTTTGATGTAATACTAATATGTTGTGATTTACAAACCATATTCTTGTTTTCCCAGTTGTCTTCCTGATAATGTCTTAATTCTTTATTTGCTTATTTAAATCAAGGAAGGATCCAGTCAAGGTTCGCACATGGCCTTTAATTGTCATGCCTGTGCTTTTTTGCTACTTATTTTGCTACTTCTGGGACATTACTGTGTTTTCAGGAGTTTGATGAATGATTTAAAAACCCCATCTTTTTTCTGTCACATTGTCATTGTTGCTTATTGTTTGATTTGATCAAAGGGTTCAAAATGTGGGTCTTTAAGTTCATACTACTTGTCCTATTCCTCTTCTAAAACTTTTTCTTCAGGAAGCAGTAATGTAAATTCTTAGTGGTGATATGTGAGTTTCAGTATTATGCAGTTTATGTAACAAGAAACTGTGATCTTAGGATGTGTTTTGGAACTGGGAGGTAAAAGGATTCTTGGATTAAATCAGAGCACCTACCCATATGATCATAATTAAGTGTGCTGTTAAATGAATGCTTTTTTAAAAAAAGTTATACTGCTTTGGGTAAAAGCTTACATAGCACATTCTCATTAAATAATTTTTATACAGATATTACAAATTATAACTGTTAGTTACATTTTTTCATTATGAATCGGCATTCTCATTTCCATTTTGTTGCTCTCTTTCTATGAATCTAACTTCCTTTTAAAATGAAACTCTTGGAAAGCAGGTCATCTGCAGAATTTTAAAAGCTGCCATAATCATGTCAAGTAGTTGTTAAACTATGTTAACATATAATTTCATTTTAGAGCCATCATATAATTCTTCAGAAAGTACTAAATTTGGCACTGTATAGGACTATAGGATTATCTGAAGATCCTATAAACTTCATTTTGTTGGAATATCTGGGCGAGAATAAGTATTTGTACAAATCCCCTTATATTAAATTCACATAATTACAATACACGTTTTCTGTTCCATTTTATTTTTCCCAATTGTGCTCAGATTTATAGTATTTTATAGCAACTTCTATATTCCTACTTCATTTATTGAATATAAACGGTGTTTGATAGCCCAGTGGTTAAGTGCTCAACTGCTAACTGCAAAGTCAGTAGTTTGAACCCACTAGCAGCTCCATGGGAAAAGATAATAGCAATCTATTTCCATAAAATTTTATAGCCTTAGAAATCCTGTGAGAGTTCTGTCTTGAAGGGATATTGTTATTTGGAATTGCCTCCACAGCAATGAATTTGGTTTTTATTTGGTTGACAGGGATCCAATAATGCTTTTACTATAAAATTTTGATTCAAATTTATTTCTTATTCTGATTAGATACTTAAATTGGTGTAATAACACTCATGTGCTTCTATAATTTCCATATCCAGAATCTACATTTTATTTTCAGTTTCAAGCATCATAAATTATTTTAAAGATTACATTGTTTCAATCTTTTAAGAAAAAAATTCCCATTTACAGCATCAAAGTTGCTGAATTTTCTTTCTTAAATTTATCCAAGTAAGTTTTCTTCCATATTGTTTCTCTTAACCAAAGGATTGTTTCCTTCCAATTGTTTTACAAATTTGAGGAGTAATTAAAAGAATGAGCAGATAAAGGCATGTTTTTAGGGTTTAAAATCTTGAAATTCTACTGAATATTTGAGCTTTATTTTTAATGTACAGTGAACCCTCGTTTATCGCGGTTAATCGGTTCTAGACCCTACCGTGATAAATGAAATTCCGCGAAGTAGGATTCCTTATTTGTAAATCAAATA